AAGGGCATATTCACTGAGGAATGAACTTAATGCATATCATTAGCATATATTCGAATTATATACTTTGAACCTAAATTATCTAGTTGATTATCCTCAATTTCATTTAGTGACAAACTTCGTCCAACAATTCAGTTCTAATGTTTTCAAAATACTGCGACGCTGCTACATTGAAGTTTTGCTCCAACATCGTGACCGTTGAGGAAAAGTATGATCCCAATAGTTGTATTAATGTGAGAGTCATCAAAATTTTGAAAAAAAATCCAAAGAACCTGAGAATTCCAAAATTTGCAATATAGTCCTTTGGCAATTCCCATAGTTGCTGAACAATTCTACTAAGTCGAGAAATTTAGGAAACAATCCTATAAATTACAAAAATTTGCAAAACAATGTAGTTATTCCAGTAATTTACAAAGCAATCTAATAAAATCCCAAATTATAAAAAGTCTAAGAAACTCCAGAAATAATGAAACAACCACAATGAAATCCAGGAAATTAGAAAATAGTCTCATTAAATCCAAAAAATTACTAATGGTCCAATACAAACGCTAAAATTATAAAATGGACCCCAAAAAACCTAAAATTATAAAATAATAAGAAAAACATCGTGTAGAGAGGAGCTTTATTGCGCCAAAGGTGAACTGCTAATTTAACCACAATATTCAATCTTGGTTTATTATTTTATCATGTTTTTCCACTATCTGTTTAAAATCGAACACTATCTCAGATAAAATCCTTATGCAAAGATGTCTATTAAGATCATTATATTTTTTCAGCTACACGCATCAACTTCAAGTAAACAAAACTTCACAAAAAGTCACATTAAAGCATATTAGTTTTACAATCCAATTCTTACACAGATTTTTATCATCATTTTGATCTGAACACATCATAACATAAACTCTACAATATCACACACTCACATATTTCACATTCCCATGTCCAAGTCAATGTCAAGAATCACATTCAAAGACTACTCATCGTTTCAAAATACTTTCAAATGCTTAACAACTAATGTTTATTATTTCCCCAAGTCAAGCACTAATTTTCCTACAAACAATTAATTAATAGATAAGTTGATAGCGACAAGAATATAGATTTACCTAACAATAATTCTCCCCATGCTCAGCTTGGAAATCAAACTAAAAAAATCCAATATTTTAAAACTAATTCATAAATGTTATTCATAAACATTGAAATAACTCAATATTGAAGAAACTACTAATATTGATCATATACTTTATAAAACTAATATTAGTTTTGAAGAATATGCCTTAATTTTAATATTAATAAAATTTATTTTATAAAGCATCAATATTGTTAACTAATACTTTATTAAATATTAATATTTTATTAATCTTTCTATTTCAATCTATGTCTTTATTCTTTATTTTTTCAATATGATTTGAATACTATGTATTTTCCTTTGAAAGTATCATTTTTAAATATTAATATTAAGTTACAAGAAATGCTTAGCATTGGGACAATTTTCCTTCGCATAAAAAAAAACTTAAAGACATACTTTCCCTAAAACTATCTAATTTATTACTTTCCCAGTATTAAAGCAATACATATAAATTTATTTTATGAGGAAAACATGCAATGCACGTGATCTATATATATGTGTGGACGCGAGCGCGTGCGGGGAAGGCTTTTTTGTTCCCTGGGCATAACTAACTTAGTTATGCCCTGTGGAAAACTACTTTGTTTACCCCTCTTTTAATGATGAAGAGAGGACACTTGTTGTCATTTAGAAAGCATGACATTCAATTAATATCTTGTATTTCTCATGAAATATTAGTATAATTTCTCATGAGATTTTAACTCAATAATCAATGTCCTCAATAATCAATGTCATTTAATCTTCTTTTTTCCCCATGAATTTGTGTATTGTCCTCTTTTAATGTCATCATAGAACTCCATTGCAAGGGACTTGTTCTTCGATGAACTGAACCAAATATTGTAATGTTGGTCAACGTGAAATAGTAAGTTTTCTAATGTGGCTAAACTGTTATTAGAGGATAGTAAAGTAATTTTAATGATGTTAATCAATACAAATTGCTTATTTGTGTAAAGATCCATCATTTGACTCTGGGCGTTGTAGATTCAAGATGGAGTTCAGCTCATCAAAATAATTATCTGATTGAGTTTGGTTCATTGAAATAATTATTTGGTTGAATACAATTCGCCTTTGTTAATTATTTCAACCTTGAATTTACAGTGCCAGATTAAAGAAAGAGACAAAAAGATTTCAAACCTTTGTCAATTATTTGGCAATCATCTAATGCCTTTGAATGGTCATGACAGCAAATTCTTTGAAATTACATTGTTCACCGGTTCAACAGGCAGTAAATGATGGTCTAAAGAGATAAAAATACTTGCTTAATCACTTGATCATTATTGACATTTCTCTTCAACCATCATTTCTCGAAGATTAGAGATGATATGATTAATTTTTAGATGAGAAAATGCTGACTGTTTCTGCATTTTTGCAACCAAAAGAAAAGATGAAATGTTTGTCAAGTAAAAAGAAGAGGAGATATTGGGGAATGTATTGGGAAGTGGGGAGAGTACATTAATTAATTTTTCAACCTAATATCTCACGAGAAATTGACATAATATATTGAGTTAATTAGTTGACATGCCATCTTAAATGACTAGAATTATCCCCACTTTATTGAAGGAGGGGTAAATAAAGTAAATTTTCACTGGCATAACTAAGCCGGTTATGCCTAGAGAATGAAAAAGCCGTCTTAGGCGCGCATGCATGCGTATTGTCTTATCTTTCTAACAGTAGTTTTCTTTCTGTTTGAAACTGCAGGATGCTTATCTTCCACAACGGCTTTTAGACAAGTTAATGTACATTTACAATTATGTAGAGATGGCTCGAAGCATTAAGGTATCACTTACTGATGTTTTTCCCCCTTCTTTCAAATACCACTGCTTAAAAAAATCGTCTATAACTGTGGACATGATTATCTTTTCAGGTCCTTTCTCAACTTCTTAGGAAAGCGAGACAAAAGAATCTTGTCATTCCTAATTTTAAAGGGCAGGTATCTGGGCAAGACACTTTTGAGGGAGCAACGGTAAGTATTACCAAAGCCTGGTAACTTATCAATTCCTATCATTCTCATTGATATGACTTTAGAGTTTAACATTCCCTGTACTTTCTATTGTAGTGATGGCTCTATTGCTTGTGTTATGATAAATATGGTTCCTTTACATTTTGGCAATAATATTTTCTCCTTGATCTGATGATATCACATTTTAGCATCTTTAGTGGTTATCTGGGGGTCAGTGTTCAGTATGTTCCATCAGCATGCTTTAACCAATCCACATTTTAATTTTCTGGTCTAAGTACTAATAGCACAACTTAAGCTTTAATTAAATCTAACGTGACTTCCTTTGGCTAGGTTTAATATCAAAATGAGCAAGTATATGTGTTGTATATGTAATGTAGTCGCTTACTTTATTCAACTTTTTCACTTGATTAGGTCAAGGCCTAAGGCTATTATGTAGGGGGCTAAGCGTGGGGTTTTCCTTGTACTGATCTACCTTGCACGATGTTCGCCTCAGATTCCCATATGTGTACTATTATAACTTTTATGTTTCCACCTCAATACAGTATGACCTGGTTAATTGATTTGGAATCCAAAAAGTCAAAATGATTCTAGCAATGTTATGTAAATAACCAAATACGTATTCAACATAATGACTTTTCAGTTCTCCCATTGATGAACTTGCAGTTTGTTGTTATTTAAATTAACAAAGTACCCAACTTATAAGTGTGAACTATGAGTTATGTGAAAGGCTTACTCACAAATTTCTAAATGTTAGGATTACTCATAAATAAACTCTCTACACAATTGGATAGTTGAATTCCCATTGTTTTTCATTTAGGATGTTATTTCCCATTGTTTTTCTTTTAGGATGTTACTCTCTGGTTCTTGTATATTTATGAGTATGTATTTTGATTTATTGGTTTCTTTTTGTTTCGTCTAGTATTTACTTCTTTGTCTCAATTTCTGTCTGTCTCAATATTTTTACATGTGCTATTTACTTTCTGTCACCCAATTGGTTGCATTTAATAAAGATAGCTATTCTGGTCAGTTGCCTATATTTTGTTGGATGCGAACTGGTCCTTATCTTTTATTTTTCGTCTCATTGCCAATCCATAATTATCTTTTTTTGTAAACATCAGAGCATATAATAAATGGTCTCCATCTACTTGGCTTTGACTTTCAGGTTTTGGAGGCAAAGGCTGGATTTTATGAAAAGCCTATTGCAACTTTGGACTTCGCATCTTTATATCCGTCCATAATGATGGCATACAATCTGTGCTATTGCACATTGGTAAGACCTTTTACAGTAAACTCCTGTTGTGTCTTCAGTGTTTACAGGTATACTGAATTGCGAGTAAAATTTTTCTTTATTTTTTGGCATCCAAAATAAATTATGTGCTTAGCTTATCTTTACTTGTCTTTTTATGTTGGGTCTTTTTTGAAGGTGACACCGGTTAATGCTCGGGAATTGAACTTGCCAGCCGATAGTGTCAACAAAACTCCGTCTGGGGAACTTTTTGTTAAATCAGACTTACAGAAGGTAAATTATCGTCTACTTGGATATTGTCTAAATGGCCAATTTTGGTTATAGTCTATTGCTTGTTATTGTCCTGCATATGTTGGATTTAACCTTCACCAGCAAAGACCTTCTATATACTTGCTGAACTAGCTGACTCGGAGCCAAAGGGGGAAGAAATCTTGCTAGATGAAGCGAACCGCCTTTTATGGCTAGGCGTCTAGTTAATGCAAGGGGGTCTTGTGCTTTGAGCTTGAGTATGAGATATAGTAATTTGATACTGAAGTGATGTTGTGGTTTCAAGTTTTGGGGCACTGCAATAAATTGCCTTTTATTAGTGAACCATTTTAGTTTTCCACATGGATGCAGTCCCTGCCATATGTTTTACATTCTGTTGTATTGGGCTTTCTATATCTTCTGTTATGTAGATTTAATGAGATCTGAGTTCTTTTTTGTTACACCACTGATTTTTCATTTCAGGGTATACTACCAGAAATTCTTGAGGAATTGTTAGCTGCTCGTAAAAGGGCGAAAGCAGATCTAAAGGTGTTTTTCATCAAAAGTGTTATTTTCAAACTTAGATCTTAGGGTGTTCACGAACTACCCTATAGTTTCCCGGACTCCTGCATGCTGATATCGACTACAATTTTCAAGCCATACTGATTGTTCAATTAAACTTTTAGCATTTTGCATGTTTCAGGAGGCAAAAGATCCACTTGAGAAGGCTGTGTTGGATGGTCGCCAACTCGCTTTGAAGGTAAATTTCTGATATGCTACTCAGTTTATTTGATAATTTTCTTTGATTTCGTTTCTGTTATTTTTCCAGATAAGTGCAAACTCTGTTTATGGTTTCACTGGAGCTTCAATTGGCCAATTACCTTGCTTAGAGATATCATCGAGCGTTACAAGCTATGGTAAACATTCTTCTGAAGATAAAATTCTAATTTATGGGATAAGCCCTGGGAGATTGTTAAATTTAAATCGTTTATTCTTTAAAAAAATAATAGATACTTTATTATGTGTGGTTTGTTCAAGGTCGACAGATGATTGAGCATACAAAGAAACTCGTGGAAGAGAGATTTACGACAACTGGTGGCTACGATCATAATGCAGAGGTAAACTGTACATCAATGTTGAAAAAAACGATAGCACATAACTTATTGCTTCACCTCCTGTTAAGGTTAAACGTAAAAAAAACGCGAAATAACATAACGAATAACGTAGGTTACATGTTTTATTGTTGATTTAAATATTTAATAAAATAAAAATATTCGCAATGATTTGTTAAATAGAATTATCGTAATTTTTAAATATAACATCACAATTATCAAATATATCATCAAAATTTCTCAACAAAAAAATGTCATAAATGCTTAAGAAACAATCAAAAAGCACATGTAGTTCAAGTTAAAAAAAAACAAAACAAAGAAAACACTCTTAAGGCATAAGAAATGTGTACGATGTGTAAATTAAGGCCTCTGAATAGATTAAAGCACAATGCATAAATAGTTTATGTATTTTCTTATTGTTTAATTAAAAAAACATATAATTGTTCATAGTAATTTTAAGAATTAGGAATAAAATTTAAAAATGCAAAAATATCTCCATATAAGTTTTTAATTTAATAAAAGCTCTGTAGATTCATTAACAAGTACCACTATAGAATATTCAATCATATAATATTACGGCTCATTCGCAATTTCACATTTGTTTTATTAGTCACACATAATTCACAATCACATAAATTTGTCACCAATAAGACGATGGATGCTTGACAAACAATTCAAAAGTACTTAATAATAACTTCAAGAAAATCCTCTCAGGTCTCTATAATGAACTCTATTGAAATAACATGAGTTATGATGGAGAATAACGTTGGTTAAATTTAAATAATGTAAGCTACATTCAAATAACGCATGTTACATGGTAATGCCGTAAAGTTATGATGTATCTGAGTTATTTTAAAAGGTTACGTAATGTTTAAGATCTGTTAGGTTACATATCGCAACATAACGAGTTATGCAACGATTTTTTCAATAATGCTTTATATGTTTGTTTATTTACATAAAAGCGAGATTCAGTTACTGTTATTATTTCGAGTCTTCATATTGGCAACATTGCTTTATGCAAATAAAATTTGGTAACAATAGGGTGTACTGAGCTTTCGAGACTGAGTGGGCTCTTGAGCAATCAAAAGGTGGAATGCTTGATAGAATTCTGGCTGATTATACCACTAATCCAGATCATATACTTATTAAGGTTGCAAGCCTGCCTGATCAATTTGGATATTTATCATTTCTTCTACTGGACCTTCTCAGTATTGGAAACTTGTATTGCAAAATCTAGGAGAAGAACCAGAGTGAATAAGAAACCAAGAACTAGGTGGAGGAAGTTATGAAAGTAAGATGTTGATACTTTCTAAGAATAAAGTGATAAGGTATATAGATAAAGAAATTATGTTAAGTGGTATCAACTATCAAGGAAGCTACAAAATTTTTTTTTTGAAGAGAATCTCTAGTAACAGTTTACCAAGTAAGAGTTTGTGAAATGAAAAAAGTTCCTAAAACAAAGAATAAAATGTGCTAGTGAAGATTGCAAAAAGTGTAGGAATAGCTAGAAGCTATAGTTTTTAGGTTAAAATCGGTTCCTAGCCTCTGTTAAAGCCCATTGACTCTGGGGTTGGACCCTGATTACTCCCCAGTAAATAGTATCGGAGCTAAGGTTATGATCATTCATATGAAGCCCGAAGGTGTCGGGAGAATGACTAAGGTTAGGAGAGACCAAGTTAACTCACGAATCCATATAGGAGTGAAATAGTCTGGTTATCCCATAAATGAAGTGGTGCAAAATCCTACGGATGTTTCTTGCTATGTGCCGAATGTTTGGTCTGGTTAGCCCACGAGTGAAGTGGTGCAAAAGTTAGTGAATCTAGGGAAGATTGAACTATACTCACAAATTAAGAGGGAGGTGCTGAGATTATTAATATGTGAGTATAGTCCCATATTTGAATAGGATAAAAAAAAGTGATGAGTTTAAAATAAGAGTTGAGGCCATACTTAGAAGTTATAGCTTTTGGGTTAAAATTGGTTTCTAGCCTCTGTTTAAAGCCCATTAACATTGGGTTGGACCCCGATTATTCCCTAACTGAAATGATAAATTTTGTAAAATTTAAGTTGGCTAAGAGGGAACCAACAGTTGCACAAAAAGAAGCTCAAATTATAAGTTATAATTTATAATTTGCAACATTATAATCCTTTTCTCCCCCAAGGAGCGATGATTCTTTCTCCCCCTCCCAGATCCGCCCCCTACCCCCCACAAAAGGTTGTCAGAGCTCCCTCTGACAGCCACGTGGCCATGAAGGCCCCCATACTCATCTCTAGCTCCGACAGCCACGTGGTCATGAAGGCCCCCTCACTCATCTCCCTACTGTTACATTGCCCTCACCCTCTCCACAGCCTTCAAACTCAGCCTCTCATGTCAAAAACCCTAGATCTAATCCAGCTCTTCCTCTCACATCTGCAGACCCGGCCTCCCTCCTCGGGCGGATATGTCCTCGTCGGCCCCTGTAGCTGGCCGCAACGGCTCCCGTCGGTCGTAATTCCAGCCCAAGCCCATTCCTCAGAGAACCCTAGATCTTATGGAGTTCCTCTTTCTTCCTCCCTGACCTCCTCAGATCCGTCCTCCCTCCCTCTAGATCTAACTCTATCCTACCTGCAGCTGCTCCATTCAGAGTAGCAGCCGGCCAGAGCTCCTTCTTCGGCCACCATCCCATCTATCCCCAGATCTATAACAGCTCGTCTTTCATCCTCAGATCCGATCACCCTCCTTCAGGTCCCCTCCATCATCCCACCTGCAGCCGTCACCAGAGGAGCCCCTGCTGACCGTCCATGGTCCCTCCCCCTCTTCCTCTTACTTTCCTTCTCTTCTGGCCAGTCAGCGATCAGACCTGTAATCAACCCATCTTCCTCAGCCCCATCCAGATCATAGGCTGCCTGCTCAGGGCTCTACTCCTTTATCAGCATCCATTCCCACCCCCTGTCCTGGTCCGGCGATCCTTAGGAGCGCAACCCCTCAGCCACAACAACTCTCATATGCCAACTGTCGAGAAGCGTGCGTGGCACTGGTTTTGTTCGAGCTCATGCTAGTGAGGTTGAATCATTTGCTAGAATCCTCCGTACATGAGTGAATACCATATGTGGCTCTTGAGATGGGGTCCCTTCCTTCTTTTTTGTCAATTCAGATCTCCCCAAGGTGGAGAAACTTTATACCAATGCCTTGGTCATGAAATTCCATAGTGGTCGCCCTTCGCTTGAAGCTAGCCACAGGGAAATCTCGTCTAGGGGCATAGAGCATCCGTTCTCCATTAGCCCTCTCACATCAAGAGCCTTCTTACTTAGATTTCAAGATGATAAAGACTTGCTGAAGGTCCTTACTCAGCCATCCATGATTCTCATCACCAGTGTTATTGAGCCACGTGCGCCTGGCGTCAGGCGCTGCGGCCTGCAGCAAATGCGCCCCGCACCAGAGGCGGGACGCTGCAGGC